CACCGCCACGCCACATTTGCTCGCCTCGCCGCAACCTCGGCCTCACGAGAGCTCCAGCGCACAGGCAAAATGTCGGAGTCAAACGCCTCATCCTCCGAGGTCTCCTCAGCCTCCTCTTCCTCCGGGGCCACCACCGCCGCGCCCGCAGGAACCTCGCACGAGGGCATCGCGCCGTTCAACTTGGCCCACCCCGAGCGATGGACCACATGGGTGAGGATATTAAAACACTATCTCGCCTGCATGCGGGTCACCGACGCGGACATGAAGAGGTCCCAGCTCATACGCCTGTGTGGTATGGACACCCTGCTCCTGTTGCAGAACCTGATCTCACCAAAAGAGGTAGAGGAGGTGAGCTTCGACGCCCTTATCGAGGCCCTCACGGACCATCTAGCCCCACAGCCCTCCAAATTCGCGGCCCGCATGGACTTTTTCGCGAAGGTGCAGGCCCCCGAGGAGAAAGCCGCGGACTTCCTGGCCAACCTCCGGAAGGCCGCCATGAAATGCGATTTTTCCAACCTGGACGAGACCTTGCTGAACCAGTTCTTGGTGGGGTTACGGGAGGCCAAACTGAGGACGCACATGACCGCCGGGGCTGCCGTTTCCGCGACGCGGTCTGCCGGTCCTGTAACAAACAAGGCCACATCGCCAAGGTCTGCCGCGGCCGCCGCCAGCAGGCCAAGAAATCCAGCCACCAGATGGAGCCCGTCCACACCGTGGACCTGCACTCGATCGACACCAACGCCGTCGACCACCAGCCCCAGCCCCAGGTAGGCGACTTGCCCCGTCGGAGCCGGAACAAGGTCCACGTTTCGGTCCGGATTGAAGGGTCCCCCTGTAGTATGGAAATCGACACAGGCTCCGAGTTTACCATAATCTCGGAGGAGACTCTGCAGTCGATCTGCCCCGGGGGGGGGCCTTCTACGCAAACCCCACTTTAGGTTGCAGGATTTTAATAAGAATCCTGTGGTGGTACAGGGCTGGGGCAAGTTCCGGGTGGAGTTCCAGGACTTTAAGGGCATTTTGGACATACAAGTGGTGGGGGGCCGGTTTTCCAGTCTCCTGGGCATGTCGTGGTTCCAGCCGCTGGGTTTGATCATAGGGGGCATCCACCAGCTGCAGCAAGGTGACTTTATGGACGTTTGCAGCGAGTTTCCCCGGGTTTTTGATGGGTCCCTAGGCAAGTTCACGGGGGCCCCCATCTCCCTGGACCTGGACCCGGCCGTACGCCCCATACGGGTAAAGGCCCGGCTGCCGCCCCTAACGGTGAGGCCGAAAATCGAGGCTGAACTCGACAAGCTGGTGGCCCAAGGGGTGCTGGAACCGGTGGCGTCAGCGCGCTGGGAGACACCTATCGTCACACCGATCAAACCAAACGGGGACGTCCGGATCTGCGCGGACTACAAGTGCACGTTAAACAAAGCACTGCAGGACCACGCATACCCCGTGCCGGTGGTCAGCCACGTGCTAGCAGCACTCGCGGGGGCTCGCGTCTTTGGAAAGCTGGACTTGGCGCAGGCCTACCAACAGCTGCTGGTGGACGCTGCCACGGCGGAAGCCCAGACGATTGCCACGCACAAGAGGGCTTTCAGGGTCCACCGGCTCCAGTTTGGTGTCTCCGTGGCCCCGGGGATATTTCAATCTTTCATGGACTCTCTCCTCAAAGGTATTCCCGGGGTACAGCCCTTTTTAGACGACGTGTTGATCGCCGCCCCGGACGCCGCGTCGTTTGCCACCCGACTCCAGGCCGGTCTTCAACGCTTTGCTCAGGCGGGGCTGAAGGTGAAGCGCGAAAAATGCTTGCTCGGCGTAGACAAGGTGGAGTTTCTGGGCTTCGCGG